GTTCCCGGTGTCCTTCGGCGGGCTCCACTCCAGCGCTACGTTAAACCCCCACACGTCAACCAGCTTCAGGTTCTCTGGCGGGCCCGGCAGCTCTGCGGGGACAACGAGAGGCTCATTCCGGCAGCGGAGGGTGGTCCCTGGCAGGGGCCGGCGGCAGCGCGCGTGGCCGCCGGCCTGCAGAGAGGGCGGCTGCTTTGCTGAGTCCGTGGGCGGCTGTGGGTCGGTACGGTGCGTGAGTAATTAGGGGCATTCTTGGGGGTGTCTCACCCAGCATCTGCCCCATCTCGTATGACTCAACAGCACCCATCACCGTGGCCTCAGGGCTGCACTCGAGTCACTCGTGTTTGTGTCAGTGGCGTGGGAACACTTTAAGTAGTGAGGGTGCTGAAAGCCATCCCCCTTTTTCCTGTCTGTTCCCCCCACCCCAGAACTGGGATGGGTGTGGGACCAGGAGCCCTGGGGCCAGAAGCCAGGAGGGGCAGCAGCTGGAACCCAGCATGGGGCTGGCAACCAGGAGGCAGGGGGCCCTGGGTGCAGGGAGCAGCCACTGGGACTCTGTGCATGGGGAAGTGGCTGCCAGGGCCCAGGCACGGAGCCAGCAGCGACCAGCACTCTGGGAAGAAGGAGCAACGGGTTGCCCGCAGCATTTCTGCTCCGCAGCCAATAATGACCTTCCCTCCGTCCCTATCCCTTTCGCACCCTCTTATTCATCCCACCAGGGCATCTTAGCCTGCTGCCCGCGGTCTGCTCCCAAGGCAGGACTTTCCTCCTGCCCTCCGCACGACAGTGGGCCGAGCACCCTGCTCTGGGAGCTGCTGCTGGAGCACCCTGCATCTCCCCCAAGGTCAACGCACCCAGCAGCACGCCCATCGCTGGGGGCTGGCTGGCTGCAAGTTCGGCTGGCGACTCCCTCCCCAGCCCCTACCCCGGCCGGAGATGCCACAAGACAAGCCCCGGGCTGCAGGGACGGTCGATGGATGGCCGCAGGCCTGTGACGGCCGGCAGAGGCTGCAATCGCCGCCGGGGCTCTGACCTGCGCCCGGTGCTGTACGGTTCTTACCGACCACGCGCAGGTCAATGGTGGCTTTGTCCTCCAGCCTGTCGATCCTGACGGTCAGCTGGTACTGGCCAGAGTCGCTGCGCTCTGCCTTGCGAATGAAGAAAACCGTGTCCCTGTCGCCATTGCGCACGGTCACCCGCGTGGGATCCAGGGGCCGGCCATCCTTGCTCCAGCTCACCTGGGGCCTCGGCTTTCCCTGGGGCAAAGGCGGAGGAGAAACCTCAGCAGGGCAGGTCGGGGCCCGGGCCAGCTCTGAGCCTGGGGCCCTGCAGGGACGTCACAGAAGAGAGCAGAGAAGCATCTTCCCAGAGCATCAAGACGGCAGTTTTTTAGGGGCAGGTGGCTTTGCCCAGGGGACGTGTCTGTGGTTTGGATGGGGCCGCATTGCCAATGCCTGTCTTAGGCCACAACCTCCCGGTGACAATGCCAGCTGGGCCCACGCAGGCGAAGGCTGGGGCGAATGCGTCAGCTGTGACAACACAAGCCAGCCTCCTTCAAAGAGCCCATAGAGCCGGAGAGGGAACCCAAGGCCTGGGGTTCGGTTTTCTTTGTTTTTTCTTCTCACTTGTTTGCAGCCCCCCACCTGATTTTTCTGTGGGTCAGTGGCCCCTGACCCAAAAAAGGTTCCCCGGCCCACCTACAGAGCCTATCGCCTGTGGATAAGCTCCATTCCTTGCTCCCCCCAGCCTCGGCTCTGGCCCCTCGCTCTTACAATCTACTCCAATTGGCTGCAGCTGTGTCAGGCGGGTCTTTTCGGGGCGCGGGAGACCAGAATGTGCAGGGGGGTCTGCTGCTCTGAAGCGCTCAGCGCTTGGCTGGAGTGGCACCTACCGCAGGGCACTGACAGTTCACTACAGCCGGGGTATAACTGGCCCCGGACCCAGCTGGAAGCAGCGAGCACCTGACTGGCGAATGCAGCAGCAGGCAGGGAATGCAGCTCCTGGGTAGGGGTTTCGGGGCGCGGGAGACCAGAATGTGCAGGGGGGTCTGCTGCTCTGAAGCGCTCAGCGCTTGGCTGGAGTGGCACCTACCGCAGGGCACTGACAGTTCACTACAGCCGGGGTATAACTGGCCCCGGACCCAGCTGGAAGCAGCGAGCACCTGACTGGCGAATGCAGCAGCAGGCAGGGAATGCAGCTCCTGGGTAGGGGCA